AAAAAAAAAAAAAAAAAAAAAACAATTTCTACCAGGATGCCCCAAAACACAGCAGCATGTAATGTAGTAAACATAGCTCTTAGTGAACACAGTAACCTGTTTTATAATATTCTCAAAAAAGCACCAGCATTAGTAGGAGGCATAGATTTCAGAACATCCAATCAGTACATCATCCAAATAACATTTCATATTATTTTACCTCTCATTTTAGGGTATTAACTACCATTGAATTTGAAGGCACTGTTACTAAAAAGGTTTTGAAATATATGGGTTTTTTTGAGGCAGGGTCTCACTATGAAGTTCGGACTGGGCTTGAGCTCACTTTGTAGCCCAGGCTGGTCTCAAACTTGCAATGATCCTCCTGCCTCAGCCTCCCAAGTGCTGGGATTACAGGAGTGTGCCAACCACACCCAGCTGTATCTGTTTTTTTTGACACGGGGTCTTGCTATGCAGTTTAGGCTAGCCTTGAACTTGCTATGTAGCCCAGTGGAATATATCTGTTTTATGGTGCTGATCAACCAAGCTGGAAGTTAATTTGAAACCTTACAGTCCCTGTCATTACCATTACAACAGTTTCATACAAAAAGAACACTGAACTCAACCTGACATCTGGACTGACTATATTTGCCAGCTGACTACACGACACCTACTTTTGTGCATGCACTGTTTAAAACTACAAAGAATTATTAAATCACTCTGAATTTGAAATGTATTTTTAGACTTAATGAATTATATAAACAGCTGTATTACTCTGAATTTTAAAAGGATTAAATGAAAACATTATAGTTCAAGTCCCATTCACTCCAAAGTAATCTTGACTCAACTTCTGAAGTACCTCTCTCACACTTTTAAAACAATACATCTTAATCTTTCCTCACACCTTCTATTGTGAATAGGGGTACTCATAACTACTGAACAAGTTAGCTTTTTACCATTTTATCCATTCCTTTTGGTCCAAGGCTTGTTCTAATAGCATCAGCAACAGCTGTAAGTGGAAGAGGAGAAAAAAAAAAATCAAGACTCTTTAAAAACAAAGCATTTCTCCCTTCAACAATCATTTTGTCTTATTAGGGTATGCTATACTACAATTTACCATTTCCACAAAGAAAATTCATGTTTGGAATAATAACCTACTGGAAATAGTAATTATCTTACACCTTTTAAATTTAAGATGCTATACTTTTTTGTTAAAGTCACTATATAGTATTTGCGCTCTGCCTATGGCAGAACATTTTTGGGAATTCCTTTAAGTATCTAAATAGTACAATCTAATTAGAACCTCTGACTAGGGACTGCATTGGTTTCCTCTACTGCTTAAAATAGGACAAGGAGCAGCTGGGTGAGGTGGCACATGCCTCACCCCAGCAGCTCAGCAAGCTGAGGCAGGAGGAACACTATGAGCTCGAGACTACCCTGAACTACATGGTAAGATTTTGTCTCAAAAAAACCAAAACACACCAGGCGTGGTGGCACATGCCTGTAATCCCAGCACTTGGGAGGCTGAGGCAGGAGGACTGCCCTGAGTTCAAGGCCAGCTTGAGCTACACAGTAAGTTCAGCCTGAACTACCAAGCAGACAATGTCTCAAAATAACCACCACCACCACCATAGATAATACACTGATAATGACTAAAAACCTCGATTTTAGAGTTGTGATTTGGTTAAAAAGTGATCCTCCTGCCTCAGCCGCCTCAGTGCTGGGGTTACGGGGATGCACCATCATGCCCAGCTATTTACGTTCTTATTAATTAGCCATCAGCATGTTTTTTTATTTTGGTACCAGAAATTGAACTCAGGACCTTGCGCTTGCCAGGCAGGCACTTGTTCTGCTGATTTACATACCCGGCCCAAATTTTTTTCACTCATTTTTTGTCGTCTTTTTTCTTTTTTTTTTTTGACTATGTAGCCCTAGCTGGCCTGGAACCTGCAGCATTCCTCCTGCCTCAGTCTCCTGAATGCTGGAATTACAAATGTGAACCCGCACACCTGGCTTTGTTAGTTCACTTGTAATTTTTTTCTGTTTCCTAACAGAAACTGGAATTGATGAATAGCACTCAATCCCCTTTCTTTGGGAAGTCCAAGACAAACTATTAAATTTTTTCCTTTCTTTCTAGCTAAATGCACCTTGAGACCATACTCTTAAGTAAGTCAGACACACACTGTGGGCATGGGGTATAGCTCATCGGCACAGTGCCTGCCTGGCAAGCACAAGGTCGTGAGTTCGATTCCCTGTGGGGGGAGGGATGACAAACAAACAAACAAACAAACAGCTGGGCATGGTGGCACATGCTTGTAATCATGGAGGAGGCTGAGGCAGGAGGATCGTTGTGAGTTCAAGACCAGCCAGGGCTACAAAGTGAGCTCAAGGCCAGCCTGAACTGCATAGTGAGACCCTGTCTCAGGGAAAAAACAAAAAACAAAAATAAATAAATAAATAAATAAATGAATACCACACTGTGTGGTCTGGGGATACCGTGCCTACCTAACAAGCTCAAGGTCCTGAGTTCCAATCCTGACACTAGGATAAAACGACCAAAAAAACCACATTGTATACTGGGGGTCAGCCTTTCACACCCTTCACTCCACCACTGCTCAGCTCCCACAGACAGCTGAGGCCATGGGTTTTGCAGACCTGAAACATCCCACAGGCCTGCAAGTGCTCAACAATTACCTGGTGGACAAGAGCTACATCGAGGGGTATATGTCCTCACAATCAGATGTGACAGTATTTGAAGCAGTCTCTTGCACTCCCCTCCTTGTGTCACCCAATACGAAAAGGAAAATAACAGCCTGCCAGGAGTGAAGAAAGCTTTAGGAAAGTATGGCCCTGCCAATGTGGAAGACATCGCTAGAAGTGGAGCTGCAAAGAATAAAGATGATGATGGTATTGACGTCTTTGGAGCTGATGATGAAGAAGAAAGTGAAGCAAAGAGGGTAAGAGAAGAATGACTTGTACAGTTTGAGTCCAAGGAAGCCAAAAGACCTGCACTGGCTGTGAAATTTTCCATCTTGCCAGATGTGAAACCTTGGGTTGACAAGACAGATATGGTAAAATTAATGGAGTGGGTCTGAACCATTCAAGTAGATGGCTTGGCCTGGGGCTTCTCTATGCTAGTCCCAGGAGAATACAGAATTAAAGAACTGCAAATATAGCATGTAGTTGAATATGATAAAGTTGGAACAGATATGGCAGAGGAGCAGATCACTGCTTTTGAGGACTGTGTGCGGTCAGTCCATGGATATGGCTGCTTTCAACAAGATCTAAAATTCAGGGGCTGGGGACTTAGCTCAGCAGCACAGTGCCTGCCTGGCAAGTGCAAGGTCGTGAGTTCGACTCCCAGTACTGGGAAAAAAAACCCAAAATAAATAAATAAATAAATAAAATAAAATTTATCATGGATTGCTGCACTTCAATAAGTGCTTGAAGGACCAAACAAAGACAAACCAAAACCTTACTGTTTCTCTGGTGTGAGAAATGGAAAGTGTAAATAAGGGCCAAAATGTATAATAGATACTGGGAAATGGGAAGAAAATGTTCAAATGAGCAGGGGAACAAGGGAGGGGGCAGCAGAAAAGGAGAGACAAGAAGGAAAAAATGGAAACAAAAGCTTTTGTAAATGAGGGGATGAGCTGGATGTGGTGGCACTGCCTGTAATCCCAGCACTCGGGAGGCTGAGGCAGGAGTATCCTTGTGAGTTCAAGACCAGCCTGGACTACAAAGTGAGCTCAAGGCCAGCCTGAACTGCATAGGGAGACCCTGTCCCCCGCTACAAAAAAAAAAAAAGGATCAAAAAAAAGAGGGGAAGAAGGGAGGGAAGCAGAATGGGAAAAAGGAAGCAAGATATATCATGTACAGGTACAAATTCTCTAGGATGTATATCTAACATGTACCAATAAAATAAATGCAAAAAACCATTATCTTCACCTCCTGATATACCACTGCCAACATACTATAATATATAGGATAAACTATGCCCCAATCATTTTTGTATACTCTGTAAATAGCACAATATTTTTGCTCATACTGTGAAAAATAACCATTTTTAAGAATTTAACAAAAATACTTTGTGCAATTTAAAAATTCTATTATTTGAATCTCTTAACTCTGGCCTACTGTTCCTAGTTATCTAATCAATATTATGCTTTCAGTAATTTTAGTGGTTCTACACAGGATGATTCTGCAAGAGATTCACTCCAAGAATGCTCTTTATGAACATCAAGATTCTGAAAAGGTAACGACTACTTAAATAAATACAGCATTTCAGGATTCTTACATCTCTGGAAATGTCTTTAACATGGGAAGTGGCACACAGTAGGCACGAAAATAGTGTTGGTTAAAAGTGTTCCTGCTCTAAAGAGTGGTTTTCCTCATCAACCAACAGCACTTTTTTTTTTTTTAAGTAACCCCATAAACTGATTTACAGTATTAAACGAAAATTGCACCTGGCAGAAGCTTTTTCCAATTACGTTGTATGGTTCTATCTACAGAAAACTAGTTGGGGCCCCTTTTGCTCTATCAGAGCCCCTCAATGGTCTATGTGGTTAGGAGATTTAGGCAATTTAGATCCCTATCTCTTAGCCCTGTGTGGTGGCCCATGCCTGTAATCCCAGCACGTGGGAGGCTGAGGCAGGTTCATTGAGTTCAAGGCCAGCCTGGGCTACAAAGTGAGCTCAAGGTCAGCCTGAACTGCAAAGGGAGACCCTGTCTCAAAAAGAACAGTAACAACAAAAAAAAATCCTATCTCTTATGTTCTGTCTCAATTCTCTGAATTGTTTTATTTGTTGAAAATTAATCATAGATATTCTCTTGACCACCCAGATGCCTCAGTTTATCATTCATCATCCTTCTTCCAATCTAGTAAGTGTAACCTTCAGTAATGGTTCCCTAGATAACATGTGAAACTAACAAATCTCGCCGGATGTGGTGGTGCACACTTGTGATCCCCGCACTTGGGAGGCTGAGGCAGAAGTGCCATGAGTTCGAGGTCAGCATGGGCTACAGAGAAAGAAAGAAAAAGAAAGAAAAGAAAGAAAACGAAAGTAACAATCTCAGTTTCCAGGTATACTATCTCCTAAACTTCACAAATGTTCCTAAATTTATCCATTGGTCAATCTGACCTCTCCAACTCTGTAAATCCAAACCAGTAGCTACCTTCTTTGACCATCCAGTGCCTGTCTTTTGGCATTATCACGTTCCCATTCTCTTGGGCTGATGACTGCAAATATCTGCAAGGTTTACTTTATATACACACATGTAACTTTCTCCTATCAGCCTCACAAGGACTCTACAAATTAGCTCTTACTTCATTTCCCTTTAGGATAATTTCTAGCTGCCGGATATGAAGCAGACACTTTAAAAAAAAAAAAAAAGACACCACTCCCTTCAGTATCTATCCGGCCCCAATCTACCTTTACAATCTTACTTCTTCATAAACTTTATTCTCGACCCAGAAGAAATACTGTACTCAACACACACCCAGGCAAGCTCTCTAACCCTTTGTTCTCTTCCATGTTTTTCTATTTTAGCTCAAATTCTCCTAAGCTCCACAGTTCTAAAAAGTACTTTTCTTAATTATAAGGACAAGAACACCCTGGCTCAGAGGTAAAAGATCACAAACTTAAAATCAAACCCAAATCTTTTCGCCCACCACGTGCCAGTGCTCTACAAAAACTCACTCTTTTGCCGGGCGTGGTGGGGCACGCCTGTAATCCCAGCACTCGGGAGGCTGTGGCAGGAGGATTGTTTTGAGTTCGAGACCAGCCTGGGCTACAAAGTGAGCTCAAGACCAGCCTGAACTGCATAGCGAGACCCTGTCTCAAAAAGACAAAAAAAACAAAACAAAACAAAACCTCACTCTTTTTTGATTGCGGAGTCGACACAAAAGTATGTCGTTCCCAAGCAAGATGGATAGATAAACCCTGCCCCAATTTTAGACGCGGAGATTACCCAACTAGTCCCAGGAAGCGTGCCGAGCGAAGCTTATTCAAGACCCCTCTCCAGGAGACTGTAAACGCTGCAGACTACCCGCAGCGGCACACCCCTGGGTGCAGGAAGCACACCATCGAGTTTGTGAGTCTGATCCCGGGGCCGCTCCGGGCAGCCCGTGGCACGTGACACGGAACGTTTCGGGGCCCTACGCGATGAACGCGCAGCCAGAACTGCAGTGCCTAACACCCAGAACGCCAGATACAATGGCTTCCGCGTCGCAGTCTGGAACCACGGGCAACAGAAACGCAGAGAATCCCTCCACAAAGCTTCTACTGGGAGGGCCGCACCTTGAACGAACAGGGAGGGGCCGTACCCGTCCAGAAACAAGGGGCGCGCAGAGGCCCACCCCGCAGTGACGGGGCTCGGACGGAGGAGGGGTTACCTTTGGCTGCAGAAATGTTGCTGAAGCGGATCTGGGCCGGCTTGTCGCGGTCCTGATAAGCGCTTTTCCCGCGGCCGCCAGCAGTACCCGCGGGGGCCCCGCTCCGGGGTGCCAAATTCTCTGGCATGGCAAGTTCAACTAAGTCTGCGTGGACTCAGCAAGCACGGATGGACACAGATTCTCCTCGCCGCGTTGTAACGGTCTGCGTACACCGTCTTCTCGAACCTTCCAGAAAGCGGCGCCGGCGCCGGGAGGAGGCAGGCGCGGAGACGGGGGCCTACCTTGCGGCCCGGCGCAGGCGTGACGTAAGATGCTGCCCACTGCGTGCCGGATGAGGTGACTGAGCGCAGAGGTCTAGGCTGAAAGACTGTAGCCTTGGGGGTGGGAAACGGTAGGGCGCCATGGCAATTCGAGGTTTAAAAATTTGTTATTGTATATGTTTGTGGTACATAGTGATTACATTTCATTCGTCTCATGGAATTGGTGCATAGACATATCTGTATAGGCGAATTTTCGGGACACCTATATCTCTCCACTTCACCCTCCACGGCTGTGAGGCCCCCTAGTTATACAGGCTGAAAGTGTGGGCAAGCCGTGAGGTCTGGTGGTGGGTGTGGCTCAGCCGGCTTTTGCCCTGTGCTTTAATGGGTACTGAATTGTCAGTTTGTGTGTTTGGGTTTTTTTGGTTTTGTTTTTGGAAAGAAGGCGGTAGTGCTTTGTTTTGTTTTAAGTATTCAAGTTGATTGTTTCAGTTGGGTGTGGTGGTACACCCAGCACTTTAGGAGGCTGAGGCAGGAGTAGCGCAAATTAGAACCCAGCCCAAAAGAATTTAGCGAGGCCCTCTCAAAATAAAAAGGCCCAGTGACCTTGTGCAGTGCCAAAAGACCCTGAATTCAGTCCCCAGTACCGCCCCCCTCCAAAAGAAACAGCCGGGTGTGCACGCGCATGCCTGTAATACACTCGGGAGGCTGAGGCAGGAGGATCGTTGCAAGTTCGAGATCAAACTGGGCTACAAAGTGAGCTCAAGGCCAACCTCAACTGCGTAGTGAAACCCTGTCTCAAAAAGACAAAAAAAAAAAAAAAAAACAACCAAAACAAAACAAAACAAAAAGGATTCATATTGAAAAGAAGATGGTAGGTAGTGGTTTAAATACACCCTGGTTAAATGCTGAGAATTTTAAAGTTTTGTAGTTGTGACTACCTGCCAAATCAGGACTGCTTGTCGTTATTACAACCCACGCATCTCCTAGATAACATTGCCACCGTCTCTTCAGGGACTAAATATCATTGATAACAATTATTTAGTTCAGTTATCTGGTAAGCAAAGTGCTAAATCTTTACTTTCTTTTTTGAACTTGTACTTTGGCCTTTTTTTTTCTTCCTGAAAGCAGGAGATAAAATTACATAGGAAAGGCGCCCTCCCTGTATCTGAAGACCTTACCACCAGAGATAAAGGGAGCGGCTGAGAGAAAGCTGTGAGTCTTTCTGCTCTGTGGTTAACTGCCCTACCTCAGGCTCTTTTGTCTTGCTGCATTTGCATGATTTACTGTTCTGTCCAATATAGCATATAATTGTCCGGTTCAAACTGTACCTGTGGGTGTTTCTGTAGGCGCCTGTGTTGTGTAAAGCTTAAATACATTGGTGTCTTTTGTCTTCAATACAGAGCTCCAGCCAATAAACGAGGGAAGGATTCTCCCTTCTCTGTACTCCCCGACGGATAGCCAAGTATAAAAATGAGCATTACCTGTAGAACTCCATCTATATGTTCTAGACCCTGCCTTTCTTTTCAGACTTATCACCCTAAGGCACTGATTTCAGTCTTGCTACACTACTTGCAGATACTTCAACACAGCATTCTGTTTCATCCTGCTTATGTAGGGACATGCTGATTCACCTGACGCATATTCAGCTATTTACAGTGCAGCTTCTCCGGGACCTCTTCAAACTGACTTGATTTCTTCTCTCACCAAGTCGCTACTTCTGTGTACTAAGTAGTAATTCTTGGTTCTGTAATTTCGCCATTTGTGTATATATTAGTTTCCCTAACTGGAATGCAAGATTTTATGCGATTCATCTATCTCTGTATCTCCTAGAGCCTAGCAGAAAGGCTGGCACAAAGCTCTGCTTGAATTGCTGCCTGGGTGGAGAGAGACAATTGAAAAGGTAGAGGCAAGACAGGGTAGGGAGTGTGTATTGCAAAACTGTGGGCCCTTGTACACTAAGTTCACATTTTATATCAATATTTATAAAAACAGCTATTGCCTGCTTGGGACTAGTTGCTTAATGGAATTTAGAATGGAAACCTGTTTGTTGTCCAAAAGGAGAAACCTGTTTATAAAGAGGGCTGCTAACTAGGTGTTTTGTTTCCCTTTGAGTCAAAGCTTCAGAGTCAAAGCTTGTTTCGGCATTGTCTTTGGCAGCTGTATTAATAGCTCTGTGCCCAAGTGTATTATCTACAAAGCATTGTGTTTTGAAATTTAAAATAAAGTTTGTACTGTGAGCCTTTTGTCTGGAAGGTATTTTAAAAGTGCCGCTAGTACTGGACCAACCTTTAAAATAAGCGTCGGCATAGCAGCCCCTGGCGGCACAGGAATGAACTGCTCATATGGCCAGCCTAGTGTTTTGGAACTTGCTGCAGGCCAATATGTCCAGTGATGTGACAGAATGTGTTATCTCCAAACATGCTACTTTGGAATAAAGATTATTTTGAGCCCAAAGCAGATGCTAGAAGGGCACTTGGATTTCCCCCCCTTTTTTTTTTCCTTAAAGCAGAAACCGCTGATATAAAAGATGTCCTCTTCATCCAGGGTGTGGTGGCTCACGCTTGTAATCCCAGCACTCGGAAGGAAGGCTGAGGTAGGAGGATCGCTTCGAGTTCCTAGGCTACCTGGTGAGTTCAAAGCCAATATGAACTACACAGCAAGACCTGTCTCAGAACAGAACAAAACGAAACAAAACAGAACACCTGAAAGATGTCCTCCCTATACCAGAAGGAAAGTTTCTTATCAAGGATAGGAAACTGAGACAGAACATTCTATGTAAACAGACCTTGTTAAAATATTTTCTTAATTCTCTCCAAATAGTTTACCTTTCTACAGTTGCTTCTTTTTAATAAAAAAGCATTTAGGTTTTGGTCTCTTTGGGGTTTTTATTTTTATTTTTATTCTTTTTGTGGTGCTGGGAATCAAACTCACAACCTCACCTTGCCAGGCAGGCACTGTGCCGCTGAGCTATATCCCCAGCCCCTTTTATTTCTTTATGAGGGCTCCCCTATCGCATAAAATTTACATTAAGTGTGTATACATTTTTTCCTGTTAATCTGTCTTACATCACTTTAATTCTCAGGCCCCATTGAAAAAACTTTAAAAAATAGAAGTAAAACTTTGCCTCTCCTACATATATATTTGAAGAAGAGTTAAATAATAGTGATGTGTAGTATGTCACTTTGCTCCTAAAAAAGTAATCTTGGGCTGAAGGTGTAGCTCAGTGGTAAAGCACTTGGCTAGCATGGCAAAGCCCTCAGGTTCAATCTCCAGCACCAAAGAGAAAAAAGTAATTATTTTTTGTGCAGTTTAAGAAGAACTGGGAGTACACAGAAGGGGTTCTTAGGACCCATGGAAAAACCAAGATTTACAAAAAGAAAGGCTTTAGAGAAGTAAATCAGCCCATAGAAATTGTAGGCTGCATTTGGTCTGCCCTTGCATTTTGGAGAGAAAGTGTTTGAGGCTGAGGGTTTTATCAGATTCTTTTCACTGTTTTAATTTTTTTTTTTTTTTTTGGTATTGGAAATCGAACTCAGGACCTTGCACTTGCCAGGCAGGCACTTGTGCTACTGAGCTGTATCCCCAGCCTATCAGATTCTGATAAAAATACCCAACACCTAAAGTTAAAGGGGAAAAGGTTTATTTGCCTTACAGTTTGTAGAGGATCCAGCCACCATAACCAGCTGGAAAGGCAGGGTGGTACGGCAGAGGGGCATGGCAGGGCAGGCAGAAGGCAGCAGAGGATAAACAGCAGCAACAGAAGCAGCAGCAGCAGCAGCAGCAAGTGCTGGCTACAGATCTGTTTTTCTGTCTTATACTTCATCCAGGATACAGGGTGGGGCACCCTGAATACTAGCATCCTACATGAATCCCAGCATCACATCTTTTTTTACTTTAAAGAGAAAAAACAATAAAAACAATGATACAAAATTTCAAAACAAGATAGTAGGAGAGTAACACTGGTTAATATTACACCAGTGTATTGTTATCTTCAAAATAGGTGCTCAGATTACAAGATATAGGCATGAAAAATTGATAAAAAATATTGGGGTCCAGGCCTAGGACCACCAATCTCTTGCTCCGAGGTACGATAACAGAATAAAACACAAACAAAACATATATTTCAGTTACAGGGAGCACAGAGATGGTCAAAGCCCAACAACAGGCTAAGGCCATGAGGCACAGTGTCTTTGGCTTTTATTGGGTGCATAGCTTGATTGGGGGTGCACTGGTGGGCTGCAGGAAGTGGTGGGGTGAACTGCTGACATGGTCAAGGTTCAAGAACTGAGGAATGGTGTATTTTTGGGTAATCACACAGGAACGGATCGCGGTTAACTGGTAACCTGCTTGTCTGCTAACTGGATTACTGAGCTAGACAGAATCTGCATGAGTCAAAGTCCTCAGCTGCCATATTATCTTGCTTCACAGGCTGCTAGCTTCAGCTCTAGCTGTCGGCTTAAAGATTAATCTGTCCTTAAGCCAGCCGCAGGCCTTGCCACAAGCCCTATAGGCCTAGGACAGACTCAATTTATTATTTATTTAGTTATTTAGTTATTTTTGTCATTTTGAGACAGGGTCTCGCTATGCAGTTCAGGCTGTCCTTGAGCTCGCTTTGTAGCTCAGTTGAACTCACAGTGATCCTCCTGTCTCCCAAGTGCTGGGATTATTACATCAATTTATTTTTATGCCAATTTATAGTGCTAGTTATTGCCTGCTTGTACCACATCAGGCTGGTCCTCAGCAAGACAACAGAAGCACAAACCTTTCTTTTCAATGAAATAATAAAAATTAGTAGTATAACTACCTTAACTATCATATATGTATATACATATGCATATATTTATTTAATTTTCCTTTTCCCTTCCTTCTTTTCTCCTTTCCCCCATTCTAGTTTCTCTTTCCTTTTGAACAGTTTATTACCATTTCAGAATATCTATTGTATATTTTGGATCTTATTTACTCTTTTAGCTTCTTATCCTAGGGAGACAGTATGATGTTTACTC